ATTTATATTAATAAATAAAACCGTATTAACTATTAAAGATATTTAATTTCATATAAAAATTTTATTGTTTTTATTAAAACTATATTCTTCTATATTTTTTTGTTAAAAATTTTTAAGTATTAAAAATAATGATAATATTTATAACGTCTATTAATTTATAATTAATTTATATTATTGCCTTGAAAGCTTTTGTTAATAAATTTATTTCTTGTTAAATCTTTATCTGTATCTCTCATCTCTGGTAATTAAGGATTTAAAATAGAAACTAAAAAATCTTCATCAAATATAAATTTCAAATAAAAATATTTCATATTGGAACTATACCATAATTATAAATTTAATGATATTAAAATATACTAACGTGTCTTTTAAAAGCTTATATTTTTAAAAGTTTTTATTAAAATATATTTATAATTGAATTGAAATATTAAATAATAATAGATAATATATATAATATTAAAAGTGCTTGGTAATGATAAATACTAGTAAATTTATTTTTTTGTTTATTTATTAAAAAAAATTTTGTAATTAACTTATCTAATAAAAAAGATAAAAAATCTTTAAAATTAATACAACATATTGATTATCTTCTGTTAAATAATTAATCGATGTTTTTTTAATCTGAAATTGATTAAATACTATTAAAAGGAATCGAACTATAAAACTGTACAAGTATGAATTATATTGTACAAACATTACTATTCTTAATTAAACAATTTATTGATATTTTAAATGAAAATTTAAAATTATTTAAAAAATGCTTTTAAAAAGAATCGAACTATAAAACTAGTCATTTATAAATAATATTATCACAAGCTTTTCGAGTCTTAAATAAAAAATTTATTAATTTTTTATATGAAAATTTAAATTATTAAAAAATGTTATAAAAATGAATCGAACTGTAAAAGTTAAGAATATTGAATAACATTGTTCTATAACTACAACTATCTTTTTATATATTAGAATACTTATTTTAGTACTATCATATTTTTAATAATAAGTAAATTATTAATATCATCACGTCACTAATATTTCACATTACGTAATATTATAATATTTAAGAAAATTTATTTAATAAAACCATCTTATTTTTAATTATTTTAATCATTCACCAGAATGTGTCAAACATTATTACCAACTTTCCCATCTCTTATAAATAATTTATTATAGTTTTTATCTGAAAATTTTGAAATTGATTAAAAATGTTATTAAAAGGAATCGAACTATAAAACTAGTCGTTTATAAATAACATACTTACCAGTTTTACCACTCTTAAATGAAAAATTTATTAAATTTTATAAATGAAAACTTAAAATTAAAAAATGTTGTTAAAAGAGATCGAACTATAAAACTATACAATTATGAACAACATTGTACTAGCCTCACCATTGTTAATTAAATATTTTATAGATATTTTTATATGAAAATTTTTAAATTATTAAAAAATGTTATAAAAAGAATTGAACAATAAAAACTAGAAATGTTAAATGAAATTTTTACCAGCTTTACACCATTTAATTAAATAATTCATAAAACTTTTATATAAAAATTCTTTAATTATTAAAAATGTTATTAAAAGGAATCGAACTATAAAACTAGTCATCTATAAATAACATTATTACCAGCTTTTTCTGATTTAATTAAATAATTTATTAAATTTTTATATAAAACAATCTCAAATCAATTAAAATTGTTATTAAAAGGAATCGAACTATAAAACTATGCAACAATGAAATGTTTTACAAACAGCTTTAAAAGTCCATTATTAAATATTAATTTGATATTTTTATCTAAAAAAATCTAAAATCAATTAAAATTGTTATTAAAAGAAATCGAATTATAAAAACTAGAAATGTTAAATGAAATTATTACCAGCTTTACGTGTCTTTATAAAAAATTTATTGATATTTTTATCTAAAAAATTTAAAATTATAAAAAAATGTTATTAAAAAGAATCGAACTATAAAACTAGTCATCTATGAATAACATTATTACCAGCTTTGCCTGTAGTAATTAAATAATTCCTTATTATTTTATGTGAGTATTTTAAAATTTATTAAAAATGGTATTAACAGAAATCGAACCATAAAAGTATGTAATATTAAATAATATACTAATACCTTTATACACCTGTTATAAATAATTTATTGATGTTTTTATGTGAGAATTTTAGAATTATTAAAAATATTATCAAGAGAAATCGAATCAAAAAGTTTGTAGTATTGAATAACATACTAACACTTTTATCCACCACTTATTATTAATTTATTGATGTTTTTATGTGAAAATTTTTAAAATTATTAAAAATATTATTGACAAAAATCAATCGATAAAAATACACCCATTAAATATATTTTTATATACTTTTAAATGTATTTTCATTGACTTTTTTTAAATATATGAGTTAATTAAATATGTTATTATCCAAAATCAAATTATTTAAAAAATACATTGATAACATAACAATATAAATTAATTTTTAAAATATTATTATTTTTAATAACAGTTAAGGTTTTTTCATAAAAAATTGATTTTGTTTTCATGTTTAAATGTATAACCTACAAGAATTGAATTTTAAAAATATACAGTATATATTTATAATACCGATATCCTTTAGTGCCAATAATAAAATTTTTTCTTCTATTCAAAAATAAGATTAGATATAAACTGTCTTACATTGAAATCGGACCTTAAAAGGTGTCAATGTTTATAATCGATATAAAACACTTTTCCATTGATGATAATAAATCTTTTTAAATTGAAATCTGAGATAAATTAAAAAATGTTATAAACAAGAATTGAATCATAAAATGATATAATAATTATAAATAATTTTATACACTTTGACAACTATAACATATAAAAATTTAATGTTTTTATTATAAACATTTAAAAAGTTTTAGAATAAGAATCGAACCTTTAAAATGTATTTGAATAATTAAACATTACAATCCATTTTATTAGATTAATTAAAAAATATTTAATGTTTTTATCTTTAAATATAAAAGTTTTAGAATAAGAATCGAACCTTTAAAATGTATTTGAATAATTAAACATTACAATGCACTTTGTCAGATTAATTAAAAAAATATTTAATATTTTTATCTTTGAAATATAAAATTTTAAGAGTGAGAATTGAATCTTTAAAATGTAATTGAATATTTAATAACTGCAATACATTTTAACAAGATAATAAAAACATATTTATTATTTTAATCATAAACATTTAAAATTTTTAAACAAAAAATTGAACATTAAAAATATATTTAATTGATAAATCATTATCATACATTTTAGCACACTAATTAAAATTTATTGTTTAATTATTAAATTTTAAAATGAAAATCGAACCTTTAAAATATATTTGAAATAATAATTATTACAATAGATTTTAACATTCTAATTGAAATATAGTTATAATTTTTATCTTTGAAATATAAAAATTATCAACAATGATGGAATTTTATTTAATAAATGTTATTATGATAATAAAAATAACCTACTTTCGAACTAACAATTTATTCTAAACTTTTTTAACAATTTAAAGTTTTATCCTATCAATTGTTTAAATTTTAGCTATTTTTCTAACAAGTACTTTAGTTATAATATTTGTAAAAAATTTTCTTACTAATTTTAAATTTAAATAATGTTTACAAAATAATAAACAGAAACAATTTAATTAATTTATTATATCAAATTGTGTATATAAAAACTTTATATAAAACACTTTAGTAATTAGAAAAATTAAATGTTTTTAGAATAGCAATTCTTAATTATTGTAATATAATTTAACTGTTAATAAACATCAAATAAAATTGGTATTAATAAAAAAATAAATATCTTCTACTTTAACATACCAAGTATAATGTAAGCTATTCAAAAACATTGTTAAATAAGCTAATTATTTTGTAAAAACACTAAAATATCATAAAATATAAATATTATTAGCCAGGAATTTAAATTTTTGAATTCAAAAAAATAACTTGATGGAAATTGAACTAATAGAAAATTACCTCGCTTTTAAAAAAAGCAAGGCAAAATCCATGTCTATTTTTTATTGTTCTTTACATTTTATTATATGAGCCTTAAAATAAGTTAAAATAGAAATTATAAAATCTATGTTATATTTTAATCATTACACAAAGAATTTTGCTAATTAATTATAAAAATAAAAAATTACATATAATATTATTTTGTTGAAATACATAAGAATATTTTTTAAGGCTTTGGGGTAATTTATTTATATTTTATAATTATCACATCACATTATGACAACAATAAAATATAAATAAACATACTTTTTAAAGAATTTAATAAATTTTTCAATATTGAAATATTAATATAATAATTTTATTTATCTATAAGTAGAAATAATAAATATTTTACTTTAAAATTTAAATGTTTTCACAAAATAGCAATAACCCTTTAAGTTATATTTTAAAAAATGTAACTTTTTTTGATATAAAAATTATATAAAGAGTATTTAATATAAACGATAATAACAAAGTAAATTAGAAGTTGTATAATCTTTTTTAGATAGATTTAATAAACTAATTACACTTAGTATTTTAGTAAATATGATAGATTGAATGTATTTTTATTAAAATATAAATAAAATAACTAAAAGTTTTTTACTAACTAATTATACAATAAATTTAAATCAAAAAATTTTATCATAACATTTACTTTTACAGGTTAGAAGAAATTTTAATATTAATCAAAACTATATAATTTTTATATCATTTTGTATTTATTAAATCTAAATTGGTTATAATTTTATAAAAAATTTAAAAAATTAGTTTTTTGAATCATAAAAACTATGAAATTTTTATAAAAAGTTTATTTCTTAATTAAATTTATAATGAGAATATTTTTTATTTAAAAAATGTTCCTACAATACATAATTCTCACTTACATATTATTTTTTTATAAATTATTCTAAAAAAATCACTAAAAAGTATAATTTTTAAACATTTAAATCAAAAAATAACTTTTTATTATTAAAATAAATAATTTTGAGGACCTAAATTTGAATAAGAAAGAAATCCATTACTTTTATCAAATACTACTACAAAATTAAACAAATCTTTATAACTTAAAACTTCATCATTAATAAGTCCATCTTTATAAACAATTAAACACTTTAAATCCAAATCAATTAAAGATTGTTTATTTTCAAACATTTTAAATTTAAATATTTTTAATAATTCCACTTCAGTAACAATTCTATCTAAAAATAAAATACTTTCTACTTTAAATAATAATTTGTTATTAATTTTAACATCATCAACTTTCTGATAAACAATCATTAAAATTTTTAATAAAAATTTATTAATTAATTATCACTTCCTTTAAGCAATAAATTAATAATTCTTTCTTTTTCTTTATCATTGAATTTGTTATTAATAAACCTGTGAGCGTTATTATACATATCAGAAACTTTACTATAAATAGATAATTTTTTATCACTTCCAATTAAATCACTCATTAAAGCATTAGAACCACTATTTAATTTAGCAAGTGCATCACCGTTATTCTTCCATAATTTAGTGATCTCTTTAAACTTATAAGGATTGAAATATTCAAACACTAAATACTGACATAAATTAGTTCTATCTAAACAGTCTAAACAATTAACTCTAATAGAATACTTCTTATGTAAACCATCACTATGATCACAACTAGAATTTCTGATTGTATCTTCATTAATACTAGCACAAGTGTTACCCTCAGAATCACTGCTATCGAATTCAGAAAATTCAGAAGAATCTTCAATATCTCTATCATCAACAACCAACTCATCATCATTTAAAATCAAAGAGAACTTTTCAAAGAAAGTATTCTTAAGTAACTCAAAATCACTGATATACTTATGAAGATTAAAATTCATGTATTTAATAGCTGATTCAACACAGTAGTTTTTATACATTTTACTTAACACTGCTTCATATTTTCTAGAACCTAATAAATCAATAACAATTAATTTCTTATTAACATCATCAATTAAATTAAAGTGTTTCTTAAAAGCTTTTTCATTCTCACTGATGTCATTGTTAAACCAGATTTTAGTAGGTTTGAGTGGATCATGTTGAGACCAATAAAGTGGAACACTTCCTCTGAAAATATCAAAATCAAACACTAAAGCATCATTCTTTATAATATTAAAGTATGTTTTTACAAAAAATGAACTATTACCCTCATCATCCACCCCCTACATAACATTCTAGGACCTATTTTATTTGTTGATATCATAGAACATATTGTAAAAATATACTTATCACTTCTAATTACATGCTCAGTAAGGAAATAACCACAAAAAAGATTTCCAAGTAAAAAATTTTCATACCCACCCCTCAACTCATTACCTATAAACTCAATACTAAATGGTAACTTGTTGTCTTTCTTATTAATTTTAGCTATACTACTTTCATTCTTAATCCTACTAAATGGACTTCTCTTACTCATAATGTTAGACTTAGTGCTTTTCTCACTATCTTTAATTCCTCTAATAAAATTAGATTTTACATTTTTATTCCAAAGAAAATGATCTTTTATATCTGAATATGTGAAATAAAAGTTATTATCTTCTATAAACTCACTCAATGTATCCATTGTTAAACTTCCTGTATTATCAGTCAAATTAATATACTCAACTTCCTTTACTCTATAAACATTGTGACTATTAAATGATCCAATTGTTTCTGTGTTACTGATAATTAATAAGAAATATTTACTATCAACTTCTATTATTCCTATTATTCCGTGAAGTGCATATGTAAATGTTGAAACATCATCACTTTTTATAGCAGTTGTTATTTTAATACTTCCTAAATCACTTTCATATTTAATTTCACTAATTCTCTTATTAAAGTAAAGCTTGTTGTTTTTATAAATCATTTTCTATTAAATTAAATAATTTTTATTAAAAATCTTCGTGTGAGTCATCAGAATTATCAAATTCATCTTCTTCTTCTTTGTAGAAGATTGATTTGTTAATTAGAGTGAATGTCTTTATATATTCACTTATGATCTCATAAACTTTAAAATACCCCTCATTATCAGTTACTAATAAGTGTTTTCCTGTATAAACAAAGTCTTTTGCTTTACACTCAAAGATACACTTATCTAAGTTCTTTTGATATATTTTTAGATTCTTATTATCAAATAATATTATACTTCTTTATCATTTAAATCATTGTTTATTGGAAACATGTACATTATTCTATTGTTATTAGGTTGTTTATCAATTAATTGTAATTCTTTATTATATAAAAATATGTTTTTACTTTTTATT